CAAGGTGCTTTGTAGGAAGACAGCCCACGTCATGCAGTGCAAGCTGATCTGGCCTCTCAGTAATAATTGAAAGTATTTCCATTTAGCCAGTCTTTACCATTCAGTCACACAAAGGCGTCAAAAATAGAAACAAAGCTGCTCTGCTTTCATTTGTCAGTGAACCTGTGGTCTCCATTTGCTCTGGTCTGTGAAATATTGGACACGACAGACAACACTGTTATCTACAACCGGCAGTTGCACTTGCATGTTTGGTGATAGTATTATATTGTTTGTTTAACAGCAGTTAAAATGACAGGAGGGGCTTAAATGAGCAGAATTCAAATCAAATAATTGCTGTATCTGACTCATAAAAATGGTGATTACAGAATCATTCCCTTTACCTTGCTTTGTACTTACAACCACATTTCAAATGCAATTCTTGTTTGTTTTTGGTTTGGTGATTTGTGGTCATTTTCTAAAGAGCATTAACATTTTGCATCCAATCTTTTCTGCATCTTATGTGTCTTGTCAGATGCTTGTTCACTCATTTTACTGCTAGCTGTCCAACTGAAGGGTCATAGGTTTCAATAAATCACATGAGGTGACTTAGTGATGAGGCAGGGGTGTGTTAGTGATGTCTTTATGATAGGCCTAATATTTAATCACTGGGATTTTTGGTTTGTAAACTCATGTATGTATGTGTTTTTATATGGATTTTGCTTACATTTCAGTAACAGTATTGTATCAGACCCTCAGGATAAAGTCAGATTTTTTTTGTATCCATTAAGTGCTAAATATTAAAGCTTTAACATTTGTAATTAAAATGTTCTATCTCTATTTTTAGCAAAGTGAGTAATATGTCTAAAAATACAGATGAAATGGATCTGCAGAGTTAGATAAGATACAATGGGTGCATTGCTCTGGTGATACAGCTGCATTATGTGCAGGGCACACTGCCTATGAAATGCTAAGATGTCCTCAGGAATGTGACAAGGAACTGAGTTAAGTCCAATGAAGGCTGCAAAGAGAGGCACCTGCTTAATGTAGCTCTCTTTTACTTCCCTGATTGTGAGATTAAAACAAATCTTCATGTACATTAATTTGCAAGTTTGTTCGCACATACCAGCATGTTTGTATTTGTATCAGTCTGTTTTCATCTTTGATAGCAAGTGGATTCCCACACCATATTTTCTCTCCACAGAGTTGGCGTGTTAGATGGCAGCATACTGAGTCAAGCTGCCATAACTAATTGAATGTGTCGTTTAATTATGTGTTTGTCTTTAAGGTAGCAGAGAGCTACACTGAAATGTGCTTTACTGTAAATGTAGTAATTTGGTATGAGACGTATAAAGAGGCATGTGTGCATGGCTGGAAAAAAAAAAATAGAATCCGCTGAATTACCAGTTCCGGTAAATGGTTTTTGTATAGCACTTTTCTACACATTAAATGCACTTGAAGTGCTTTCCATTATTTCTCATTCACCCTCACACACCAGTGGTATCACTGGGAGTAACTCGGGGCTCAGTGTCTTACTCAAGGACACTTTGATATGTGAACTGCTGATTCTACAGTTAGGGGACGACCTGCTCTACCTCCTGAGCCACAGCTGTTTTGCTGTATGAATGTTTTGTTTGTTTGTTTTTGTCACTGCTCAAGAACATTGCATCCTGCTTCCATATTTGATATTAGGTTGACTTGCAAATCAAAGTAGATAGTATTGTCATAAGGTTTGTTTAAAAAAAAAAAAAAAAAAAAAAAAAAAAAAAATCATAGTGTGTATGTGATTTATGTGTATCTAAGCAAGCGTGTCCGCACATGCATGTGCTGTGGAGCCACAGCTAAGTATATGTAGCAACCCTTCTGTGGATTGTTTCTCATATCCTGTTAGACTTTCTTAAGCATTCTTTAAGGGAAAAGATATATACATATATAGAGAGAGAGAGCACATGGATTGATAAATTGTGTTGGCATTATCCCTAATAGTTGCAAAAACCTGTTTGTTACTGAGTGATGACTGCTTTAGTTTGACCATGTCTGTACACATTTCCTGTTTAAATTTGATTGTGCACAAGATCGTTGAAGGCTGTCCCAAAGAGCACAGTTGGCACCAGTGAGGCCACACAAAAATGCTAAGTGCTTTAGTCAGTCTAGTTTATATATCTCTGAACACTCATCTATTTTAACAGCAGTAAACAGGTAAAACTTCCCCACCTGGCACTCCAAGGAGAATATACAATTACAGGGCTAATGCCAACGAGAACTTTTTTTTTTGCTGTTTCCTGTGCAAGGTATGAATAAAATAACTCTAATTAGAATATTGAACAGAGAAAAGCACCTTAAAAATATGATTCCCAGATCTTGATGTTCTGAAAGATTTTTGCAGCCACACTCTGTTGGCACCCTAGGGGCTATTGTGCTTGAATAAAATGCCAACCATGCAGAATATTAATGTGATGCCACCAGGGCAGGCCAAGTCATGTCAGGCTCGGTGAGCTGTGCTGCAGAGTTGACTGAGAAACAGGAAGAGAGAAGATTAGCCCTAACAAGCTGCATAAGGTATTATGACACCAAAGTGTGACACTAATACACTGTGCTCAGAAAAGCAAAACCTCTTTAGTTATTTTCATTAATAACATGCCTAACTGCCTAATTAATTAAACCATATTTTTAGAGTCATCTTTCTGAAATGCCTTTGGCATGCATTAGGTCATTTGTTTAATTAAGGAGACCTCGGTGTAGGTAACTTATTGGTTGTATTGTCACAGCTCTCTCAGGAGTGCATCAGGTTGCATCCATCATAGTCCGGAGGGGAACAGGGTGAGAGAGTGGGGACAGAACAATGTTCCCTCTCAGGACCGAGGCCAGTTTGCCCAGGTGTATCCAGGTAGTTATTAAGCACCACTGGAACAAGGGTCACTGCTTTCCCATCCATGAGCAGAGCTGCCTCACATGGAATTAATTTGCTGTGCTTTTTCTCATAAGACATACAGTGTCTCATTGGTAGTAAATGTTGTCCTTGAGAAAAGGTTTAAAAATTAAAGGTGGAAAACACCAGGAGAGTTACAGTATTTGGTAATACTGTAACTCTCCCGCATTATCAGATTTACATTAAGAGGGTCTTATTTTCAGAATAGGTTTTTTTTTTTTTTTTTTTTTTTTTTTTTTTTTTCTGGCTCTTCTTAAATGTACTTCAGAAGACATGTCCAAATATGAGAGGGGATTGAATCGGCAGCAAGATCACACCCCCACCTACCCCACCGGCATGATTTCCTTTTTTGTACAACCAACTACAGTCACACCATAAATGCATTCCCAGAAATTAAACGGTAAATCTTTATACCACCATGAGTTACACATTAAGTCTGATCCAGGTCCAAATGGTGAACTGTGGCAAAGTTTTCAAAACATGACCTCCAAAAGCTACACAGTTCAAAATGGTTTCAGGCAGTGGGCTGTGATTGAATCATGATTCTAATCCTTTAATATTTAACATTTGGGTAGTGTTTAGAAAAAAAAAATATTGATATATATATATATTTGGAACAAGATTTAAACAGCAAAACAAGTCAGGCAGATGGTCTTATTTGTACATGCAAGTCTCGTCAGCTGGTTGAGGTGGTAACCTGATCTTCTGCAGTCACACCAATACTTGAGTGTATTCAAGGTGGTCTGATTAATTTATCTAAATGAGTGTCTGTCTTGACTCTACATTTTATGAAGTCCAGTGCATTTTTGTTTTTTGTATCATCTAGATTCAGGAATTTGTTGTCACTGAAACTCTGTTGTCAGCAGTTTTGATTTACTATCTTCAAAAGCTTGATCCTGAAGAAGACTGCTGTTACTGAAATATCCCTTTTCTTGAATAGCTTTCCAACTAGTAATATCAACATGGTTCCAAATGTTAGGGGTAGGTTTTCATGGTCAAGGAATCGTATTGTGAGGGTCAGACTGTCATGGGAATATTGCCTTTAGGTGCAATGGCCTTGTGGGGACAGTAATCTTTCTTGATGGAGGTTTGCGCTTTCTCACACCCTTTAACTTCTTTTGTTCACTGGAAAGCCATATTACTGTTAAACCTGGAGTTTTTTTAATAAACAGTGTATGTGTGTTCGCTACCTAAGAGTTATCAGCACATTTCAAATCAGCTAGCAATTATGCTGCTCAATTCTCCTGAGTTTTCTTTAAATTAGGAACTTTCTTTGCTTTATGAAAAGGTCCAAAGGTTCTAGTCTGAATCGCAGGAAAAGTGGTTATATTTAGGGAGATGGAGATGGGCATGCTTAAGTAAGGCTTAGGGTGTGTTAATGTCAGTCTAGCTAAAGATGTAGCCGGTTCAGTATTTGCCATGGTACAAAAGTGCGTGACAGATGGGGACCGCAATTAGTCGGCATGCATGTGAAGTTATTAAAAGTCCTTGCTTGATAATTAGCAAAGTGTATGAGGGAATACTGCCTGGTAAGATCAGCAACCAGCTTACACAGTGTGCTCAAAGTAGGTAAGTCTGTGGTGAGTTTACTTGTAATGAACTCTGATGGTCTCTGGAAATGTTAGTTTATTTTTCAAGCTAATAAGTTTTACAGTCTTATGCAAAAGTTCAGGCACCCCTTGATAAATAACAGATTTTGGTGATTTTTTATTTGAACAGATGTTAACACAGTTTCTCTTGGAAATGGAAAAAATGCACAATATTTTCAGCAAACAGTGATGCATAGTTACTTCTTATGCCATAAATTGAACAAAAATAAAAAATAAAAACATTATTATGGCATGGTGCAAAAGTTTGGGCACCCTAAGAGTTCCAGAGTCTCAAAGTCTCTCACAAGGTTTCAGACCTTAATCAGCTCATTAGATCTGATGCACAGCAACAGCTGTCATTGGTAAATGCCAATTTCAAAGCTGTACAAATACCTTGACTCTTCAAACCTTGTGCACACACTTGTGGACACCCAGCAACCATGGGTTCCTCTAAGCAGCTGTGTAAGACCCTGAAAATGAAAGTTATTGATGCCCACAATGCAGGAGAAGGCTACAAGAAGATAGCAAAGCGTTGTCAGCTTGCAGTTTCCACAGTAAGAAATGTAATTAAGAGATGGCAGATCAGGGGAACTGTGGAGGTCAAGATGAGATCTGGAAGACCAAGAAAACTCTCGGACAGAACTGCTCGTATGCTGGTCAGAAAGACAAATCAAAACCCCCATTTGACTGCAAAAAACCTGCAGGAAGATTTAGCAGACTCAGGAGTGGTGGTGCACCGTTCCACTGTGCAGCGATGCTTGCACAGACAAGGCCTTCATGGAAGAGTCAGCAGAAGAAAACCTTATCTGCGTCCCCATCATAAAATCCAACGTCTGAAGTATGCAACAGGACATCTACAGAAGCCCGATGCGTTTTGGAAACAAGTGCTGTGGACTGATGAAGTTAAAATAGAACTCTTTGGACACAATCAGCAAAGGCATGTTTGGAGAAAAAAAGGAGCAGCATTTCATGAAAAGAACACCTTGCCAACTATTAAGCATGGGGGTGGATCTATCATGCTCTGGGGTTGTGTTGCAGCCAGTGGCACAGGAAACATTGCACGGGTGGAGGGAAGAATGGATTCCACTAAATACCAGCAAATTCTGGAAGCAAACATCACACCATCTGTAAAAAAGCTGAAGCTGAAAAGAGGATGGCTTCTACAACAGGACAATGATCCTAAACATACCTCGAAATCCACTATGGAATACCTCAAGAGACGCAGGCTGAAGGTTTTGGAATGGCCATCACAGTCCCCTGATTTAAACATCATTGAAAATTTGTGGGTAGATCTTAAAAGAGCTGTGCATGCAAGACGACCAAAGAATATTACAGAACTAGAAGCCTTTTGCAAGGAAGAATGGGAGAAGATCCCAAGTACAAGAATTGAAAGACTTTTAGCTGGCTATGAAAAGCGTTTGCAAGCTGTGATATCTGCCAGAGGAGGTGTTACTAAGTACTGATTGTGTAGGGTGCCCAAACTTTTGCACCATGCCATAATAATGTTTTTATTTTTTATTTTTGTTCAATTTATGGCATAAGAAGTAACTATGCATCACTGTTTGCAGAAAATATTGTGCATTTTTTCCATTTCCAAGAGAAACTGTGTTAACATCTGTTCAAATAAAAAAATCACCAAAATCTGTTATTTATCAAGGGGTGCCTAAACTTTTGCATAAGACTGTATACTGTCTGTGAGAGGATTTTGTATAATGTCCACAGCCGTAGAATGTCCGGTATATTATTTTTACTTGTTTTGTCAACATTCTGAGCTTTTCTGCATTGTCCCAGCACAGAGCAGTGAGTATATGTATTTTAGTGCTATCAAATTAGGTTTCTAATTAAATATAGTGAAGCTACATAATTAATTATGAGTATTTGTGTGTGCAGTGGGAGCTGCTGTGGTCCCTCATCCTCCTCCTCACTTTCTGTCTGCTACTGGTCTGGTTCTACTTCTGGTGGGAGGCACATAATGACTACAATGAGTTCAACTGGTGAGTATAGGTCAAACAGACTGACGTGTGGTGTCGGGTCAAACAGGAGCCACACACTTGTCACCATATTGTTTTTGGCTTCAAATAACTTTGTTCCTATTGGTCACCTTGTTGATTTCTCAAATCTTCAGTTTAATCTGTCCCTCCCCCAGCCATTCACAGATTTTACACCATTAAAACAGAAACAGTTTGACAAACACTTCCTATACTGTACATCACTCATCCCTGTGAATGCATTTCTATGACTGAAAACATTGTAAACTACTTAAAAGTCACTTATTCCCCAAAATTATAAATGCAATGCATTGGTTTTCTGTTGCATATTTTAGTCAGTGACAGCTGTGGCCAGAGGCATTATGTTTTCAGGTTGTCCGTCCGTATGTTCGTCCCATTCTTGTGAACACAATATCTCAGGAGCACCTTAAGGGAATTCCTGCAAATTTGGCACAAATGCCCAATTGGACTCACAGATAAACTGATTAGAGTTTGGTGGTCAAAAGTCAAGGTTAGTGACCTCCCTTGTGTTATTGTGATTTAGCAGCAGGGAGTGCCTATCTGCAATATTAATGTATTCATAGATGGCTAGGATCATCAGTGTCAAGTGACCCTGCTGTGGCTCTGTGCCACTAGAATCTCTGATATGACTTTGATTGAAATTAATGCTATAGGCTTTGAACCTACTGATACATCCAGTGTCGTTCTTTTGAGCATCAGGCTGTATGTGCGTTTTGTTTGTCGTCTTTTATTTCTCTCACACTGAACCTTCTCCATAACAACCAGCTGTCAATAATTTACCACCATTGCATTAATAATGACAATCACATAATATCTTTGCCCTGAATTGTTCTTGTAGCCCAATAACTGTGTCTGTGGTAATTGAGGCTGCTGTCTGTGTTGGTTTTATTCCAACAATAAAGCATTATGCTCAGTGGGAACTTACTGGGTGTCGGCCTGTGAGTCAAAGACCTTTGAAACACCATCAGTCTACGAGTTAGCCATCCTTGTATCTGTCTTGTAGATCCATTGCAAAAAGTCAATGCTGTAGACCTAACAAGCCTGCTGATTTGCAGGCTTGTTAGGCATGTCTACACACACTCATCTCTCCCAAGTCTTAACTCCAGTTAGTGATGATAAAATACAAGTGAGCTCTCAGTTTGAGAAACATTTTCTCTTTTGTTTCCACAGGTTCCTCTACAACCGCTCTGGGGAGTGGAGTGATGGCACTGTTCCCATCCTGGCCACCACTGCTGCTGGTTTCACCTACATTGCATTTTTAATGGTTTGTCTTTCATCAAGTTCTCATTAAGGAGGTGTTCTCTTGATACTTTCTTGTTGAGGCAGCTTTTAAATTGTTTGCAAATTGTACTGGCAGAAATAGTAACCAGTCACATGTTTGTGTTGAGCAAGTTTGGATCTGTGAGGCAGCAGACTTGTTTTTGACAGTTGTATTCTTATTTATGTTTTCTGGTTTTCCCTCTTTTGTTCTTTTTTCCAGGTTTTAGCACTTTGTCACATAGCACTTGGGCAACAGCTAAATTTGCACTGGCTCCATAAGGTAATGTGTCAAATGTGGGCCAACTGAGCAGCAGTGTGTGTGTTGTGTGGATAGTGAAAATTGGGTGGAAGGAAGGGGGGTGGTTGAGTCTTGTATATTTATCCTTGTTTCTTTTCTAGTGCTTATTTGTGTTTATACACTTATTTGTTTGCTTTGTGTCTGTATGTGTACTCATTGATAACTGGTCAAACGAACCTGAACTTAAAGTTTGGATTGTGTTGTCCCAGCAGGGCTGTGAAAGCCCAGTAAATGACCTGCTCGAGAATGTTGTCAGCAAACCAAATACTGGAATCAACCACAGAGTTGTTCTGTCCTTGATGTGTACATGTACGGTACGTATGCAAAGTAAAAAGCGCTCAGATCTTTTGTATCTCTGTCCAAACAGATAGGAGTGACTGCTGCTCTGCTCACCACCATTGCTGGAGTTATATCTGTCAGTCAAACATGGGGCCAAGAGTGGGATGTCATCCCCATCTCCCTGCAGGTCAGCAGACTGAAACACAGGAAACCCACAAAACCACTTCTCAACATAACATCCTTAACATCAATGCTGATGTTAAACTGAGTGCTGTGGTATACAAGGTGGAGTGCTTTTTTTCTACACAACTACCTGGACTGTGACCACTGGCTTATGGGCACTGGATAAAATAAATCAGCTGTAATAGCTTTATCAGGTTAAGAACATAGTATTTCTTCTCAAAGCTGTGAAAGTTCATAGCTTGGTATCATTCTGATATTCACATAACCTGACATAATATCAGTACCTCATGCAATAGCTGCATTGTTATGTTTAGATAATATAAATGTTTAGATATTTTTGTTCTCTTACAATAAAAGATCTTCAGTCATGCAGTATATAGATGGATAACTAGCATGTAATGAATATATTTGTAATTTCTATATTTAATATGATAAAGAAAACTGTAGGGACTCTACACTCGACTAAACAATATTCAAGGAGTGTGAGAAGCACGTAATTAGTGTGTCCTTGTGACATTATTACACTGCCAGGAAGGTGTGATTGAAGGTGATGCACAAATCCACTGAAAGAGATGGCATTAAATTTGAATGCCTCCAAATTATAGCTATTATCTGTGAATAGTGTTACTCATGTCTTAACCTCAGATAATGTGTGTAATTCCACATCCCTCTCGTCTTGGAGTGCTGTCTAGTTGCTCTTGCCCTTTACTCACTGCCATCTCTCTTAAACACTGATTCTTATCCCCTTATCTTTGTTTTCCCTCTGTCTTCATTTCGCTATATCGTAACTGCATTCATCCCCTCTAATCTCATGTTTGACCAGGCCACAGGTCCGTTCCTGCACATCGGGGCACTTGCTGCAGTCACAGCACTGTCTTGGATTGTGGCTGGACAGGTCACCCGCACAGAAAAAACAAGTATGATTACGTCTGAAACACACAGTTGCTTGTTGTAACCATCTGACACTCACACACAAGAAGAGTGGTGAAGGATTAATACAGTGTAGACAGAGGCCAGGACCTCCACCCAGGGTGTTGGAGATAATGAACATTTTTATGGGCTCATGTGATGTTTTTAAGCTAGGATACCTTGGATTGTTTTCTCTTCTAGTGCAGGGCTCTTTCTGGGGATCAGCAGTGCAAGTGCAGTACTGCAAGTGTGTTTTGTGCTCCAGCTGTTGCTGCCTTCAGCATAGAACATGTTTGAACAAAAATATAAGGCAACATCATTAATGTACTATTTTATTGTCTACTGGGGAAGTTGCAATTGGCTATTAGCAGTAGTATTTATTGTAAATGCAGTAAGCTGGTAATGTAAGTCATAAAATCTGAATTTGTCAGAAGTATTACTCTTAATCTATCTGAACATTTTGCTTCCACTGAGTTATAACTGTCTTTTGGACAGCGCAGTTTGTACCGAGAGAGACGCTTAAAACTAATTAAAGAGATGTTTTGTCCTTAGCTACAGTTTATTTTATGCTTTTGAGTTGAAGTGAAGAGGTCTTGGCAAGATTACTCCCACTTTAGCATTTCTGCCATAATGCACAGTCGAATCTTAATGCCAGGAAGTGTGTGTGTGTCTGTGTGTGGGGTGGGTGGATAAGAGCTGTGAGTCTCCAGTGTGTAACAAGAGTTGTCTGCTCAACACTGCCCCACAGCTGACCTTGAAACAAATACACTCCCTCATGTGTGTCTTTGTGTGAGCCCACACTGAGCCTTCAATGCTCATCACATTGAGGTGGATGCAGTGGAAAGTGCATCTCCTTGACCCCTGTTGTCAAGGTTGTTGGCCACTGGGAATAGCTATATAAATGACTTCTTACATCACACATCTCTTTAAAAATGCAACAAAAGTCCTAGATTACATATAAATTTTCTCAGGGGTTCAAATGAAAACCTAATATATTTAAAATTGCAATTTTCCAGTGATTGTCAGCACTGTGGCCTCAGTTTGTCCATGCTGGAGATACCAAAAAAGACAAACTAGCTTGGTACATCACCTGTATTAGTCACTGGTCACAGAGGTGAACCTACTAACAATGTATATATTTACTGTACAGACATGAGTGGCATCTAACTCGGCTAGAAAGCAAACACTGAATATTTTCCAAAATTTCAAACTCATTCTTAAGCCTCTAGTTATGTCAGATCTGTCCTTCCCCCAGTTTTCCAGCTGGTGGTTGTGCTGCTGTATCTCAGTGTGTTACTGGGACTCTACGTGGTACCCCTCTACATCACGTCCCCCTGCATTATGGACCCCACCACCCTCAAACCACGCCCTGATGTTATTGGCCACCAGGGTGCCCCCATGGTGAGTCATCAATTCTGACATCTGATCAAAATGTTGTTATATGAAATGTGCCTCTTTAAACTAATAGTTTTACAGTACTTTCACACCATAGTATGCTTTTACTGTAGCTACCTGATACAGGTCAAACCCCTACATCTAGCTATGCTGATGTCACTGAGCCACTTAAATATGAAGCCTTTAAATGCCTTTAAACTGCCTTTAAATGTATGTTTCTCTCATTTGTTATTCATTTTTCTTCTCCTGCATGTCCCAGGGTATTCTAGTCTATTAATGACCTTGTGGTTGTGCAACTGAAAATAGTCCACAAACAGCCCAGTGAGGGCCTGGAGCTCTCACTGTGCATGGCAAAGACATTTCTGCATGGCAAAGACATGCAGGGAGCACTGTCAGTTGGGCAGCTAGATGTGAAGGAGAAATGATTAGACTACTTATGATCAGGTTCCCTAGTATCTATCTCTTTTACAGATGTTTTAAACTTCACTACAGTCTTTGTCTGTATGAGCTTCTGACATAATAATGCATCTAAAGACCACATTAAGATGTGATTTATGTACACAAAAGCACACGTTAGCTTTTTATATTTGATTTATGTGTGTGGAATATTTTTTTGGCTTGAAAACATTATCTAAAGAAGGATTTATTATTTGGCACAGTATCTTTCTGGTTATTAAGCAAAACTTGGAAGGGAAAGAAATGAATTCCTGGTTATTTATAACAGTTACTCACTCACTCACTCACTCAGAAACACACCCTGCTTTTTGTGGTACAATGGGTACAGAAAGTATTCAGACCCCCTTAAATGTTTCACTCTTTGTTATATTGCAGCCATATGCTAAAATCATTTAAGTTCATTTTTTTCCTCATTAATGTACACAC